TTAGCCTAAGGAGAACACAGCTCACACTCTCCTAGGCCTGACACCACCTACAAGCTGAATGGCTTCACAGAAATCCTTCCAGAGGGCACCAGGCTTTCAGGTCTCTACCCTGGGTGAGACCCAGTGGCTCTGACTGGAGTAAATACACCTTTATAAAAGAAACATTCATGGTGCAAGCCTGTAATCTCTGCTACTTGGTGGGCTAAAGCAGGAGGATCGCAAGCTTGAGTCCAGTTTGAACAACAGATGTGAGAACCCCACTACCACCACCAATTTCATTCCATTTTCAGGTTACTGAGGTACTGAGTCACTGAGTCTAACAACTCTCAGTTCCCAGGCACCTTAGACACACCCTCTAAAGGAAGGGATTCTCCATCTCTATAGTAGCCTTGGGACTTATGGAGTTGGCACATAAACAGGTACTAGCAACAATAAGGACCAAGACCCAGGACAATGAAAGGAAGTTCTCATCCACACCTACCCCACAAGTAAGGCTATCCTGGTCTTTTGAGTCTGCTTTTTCCGCTGCTCAAGAATTCCCTAGTCACAACCAGATGTGGACAAAGCTTTCTGCCCCAAGACACACTCTAGCTGATAGTGAGAAGGGAAACGGTGCAACACAGGCATGATGGCCAGCATGTTAACCAAGATAATCATTTAGGGGCTGGGGATCTAGCTCAGCGGCAAAAGCGCCTGCCTGGCAAGCGCAAGGTCGTGAGTTCGGTTCCCGGTACCGGAGAAAAACCAAAAAAACCAAAAAAAAAAACAAAAACAAGATAATCATTTATACAGCCTGGAAGTCACTCCCCTAGGAAGGATTCAACAATTCTTGCACATATGGGGGCAACAAGAATCCCAGAACTCCAAAGCCAGGAAAGAAGTAGCCAACTCAAACTGGACTCTAAACACAAATATTATCAAGTGCCCTACCTGAAAAATTAACATAACAAAAGTCCAGCACAACACTCAGCTCAAAGCAACCAAAGAAATCCTGCCTTTTGTGCCTGTGTGGTACTGGCAATCAAACCCAGAGATGTTCTACCACTGTGCTAAATCTCAGACCGTTTTTACACCTTTTTTATTTTCAAACAGGGTTTTGTTAAGCTGCCCAGGCTGAGCTCAAACTGGCAACTCTCCTATCAAGTGCCGGGACAATAGGTATGCACCACCACACACAGCTTAATTTTTGTTATTCTATTTTATTTTGTAGTACTGGGCTTGAACTCAGGCTTCTGTGCATGCTAGGAAAGCACTCTACTGTTGAGCTAACATATCCTTGGGCCTTTTGAAAAGCTTTTTTGATCCTCTCCCCAGTGCTGGAAGCTGAGGTGAAAATGAGCTGAATCGGATACTACAACAGTATTAGCATTTCTGAAGTCCCGCTATCTCTTGTCACCTTGCCTAACATCCCAGGCAAAGGCCATGTGTTGAAGGCATATCCAGTCCACAGTCCACCAAGCTTTTCATCTCTCAGGAAGGCTCCTTCTACCCTGGGAAGATGCCCTAATGGGCATCAACTCTAGAAACAATTACCTGGCACATAAATCAAGGTCTCAGTTAAAGGGGCCAGAAGCCACACACTCAGGGTCTAGGCAGGAGGCTGAAGGCCACAATGATGATGAAATTCCCAGGCACTGTGAGAACACCCAGCAGGCTCCTAGGAAAGGGAGGAACAGCAGGATGTAGGAGCCAGGAGCTCCACTCAACAGTCATAGCAATTTGAATCTTTTATCTTTATTTTTTTTGGCAGCACTAGGGACTGAATCCAGGGGCTCAGGTAAGCAGGGCAAGTGGAATACCACTAAGCTATATTCCCAGGCCTTTAGTCCTTTTTATTTTGAGACAGAGTCTTGAAAAGTTGCTCAGGCTGGCTTCAAATTTGAGATTCTCCTGCCTCAGCCTCTTAAGTAACTGGATTACAGGTGTGTGCCACTATGCTCAGTTTGGCCATAGGAATCTAGAGTTATGACAACGTCACTCAAAGGACCTCAGACCTTACTGGGTCCACAGTCCAGGAACAGATCACCCTTTGCAATTTCTGCCAAGTACTAGAGAGGAAAGGGGCCCACTATGTCTTTGCTCTTCAGTGTATTAATCATTCAAGTAACCGCCTCACAGGACTAAAAGCCCCTTCAACTAAGCCTTCAGCACACAGAACCAACATTTTCCTGCCACCCCTAACACCAGGGCTGGGTAGGACTCATTTTTCTTCCTATAGCCTCAGCCCAGAGCCAGACATACAGAGCCAAAGAATAGCTGCTTAAAAAACAAACAAACAAACAAACAAACAAAGTAATCATTGATGAGACAGTGAAAAAAAAAAAAAGCAAGATACCAATGTCTCAGTAAGGGAACACTGAAACTTTTTTTTTTGGTACTGGGAACTGAACTCAGGACCTTACATTTGCCAGGCAGGCACTTGTGCCACTGAGCTGTATCACTGGCCCCCTGAAACTTTTGATATAAAGTACCTTCTAGTTTTAAAATGTAAGAGCTGTGTGGTGGCACACACTTGTAATACCAGCACTTGGGATGCGGAGGCAGACTGCCATGAGTTCAAGGCCAGTCTGATTTACAAAGCGATACTCTGGTTTCTCAGATCGTGTAAATCTTTCGCCTTTTGAATTACAAAGCAAAACCTTGTCTCGAAAAAATAAAGGCTAGGTATGGTGGCACACACCTGCAACCCCAGGTAGGAGGATCACCAAGAGGCTGAGGCCAGCTTAGGCTACAAAGTGAGTTCATCTACGTATTGGTTTTTTTTTTTTTTTTTTGGTTTTTCTCCGGTACCAGGAACCGAACTCACAACCTTGCGCTTGCCAGGCAGGCGCTTTGCCACTGAGCTAAATCCCCGGCCCCCCACTACAAAATGAGTTCAAAGGCAGCCTGAACTTCAGTGAAATCCCGTCTCAAAAAAACAAAAATACAAAACAAATAAACAAAAAGAATTCTGTGTCTCTCTTAAGTCATGCATCCCATCCCAACCCCTCAACTGCAAAAACAATAACAGAAGACATGGCTCAGAAGAAAGTGGAGTCCAATCACTAACAGGCCTGAGATGAGGTCTCACTATGTGCACAAGAAGTACCTTGATCTTCCAATCCTGAGTAACTTGGATTACAGGTGTGTGCCAGCCACCATGCCTGATTTAAGGGACTAAATTTTAAATTGAATGAAAAGCCATGCATCTTCACACCTTGCCGCCCTTGCTTGTACAGCCATATCCAGAGTGTCCTATGTCAGGTTCCATTTCCCAAGTCAGTCCTACATGAATAAAGGGCACAGAAGAGATCCTGGAAAACCAGAGTTGTCTTATAGGAAGAGAATCTAGATGGCCTGCCAAGCTCCAGGAAAGGTCAAGGACTTCTCAAGGTTGGAATACTTAGCAATGATTATCTTTGGACAAATAAATTATAGAAAATTTTGGGATTGGGGGGCTGGGGATTTAGCTCAGTGGCAAAAGCACCTGCCTGGCAAGAGCAAGGTCGTGAGTTCAATTCCCAGTACCGGAAGAAAAACAAAAAAACAAACAAAAAAAAGAAAATTTTGGGATTGGAATAAAAAGGCAGGACATTAATTCTTCCTATTCCTGTGTAACCTTGCAGAAGGAACAAGGTTCTTTTGACCCTGAAGAGGCTAGGGTGTGATTCAGTGGTAAAATGCTTGCCTAGTGTGCAAGAAGCTTTTGGTTTGATCCTTAGCAAAGCAACAACTCAAGTCCTATGGTCAGCCAGATGTGGTGGCACATACCTGTGTTTCCACCACTTAGGAGGCTGAGGTACAAAGATCACCATGAGTTTGAGGTCAGCCTGGGCTACATAGCGATTTTGAGGCCAACCTGAACTATACAGCAACCCTGTCTAAATAAAAAAACAAAAACAAAGAAGTCCTGTGGTCAGGCCACCCAGCACCTTGCAAGATGGAAACTAATCCCTAGCCATAGCCTGGCTCACATGAAATGCATGAAACCATGTTCTAGAAAGTACCAACACAATATAGAGAAGGTTTTGAAATAACTGTTTCTAGTTCTAAGAGATTCCAACTCACTGATCCTGCATTTGTTCTCTGGATAGTCTTCATTGCACAATTTGGGTATCTCCTAACCCCAATGAATGAATCTGACTTCCATGTGTTCATGTTCCAAGACATGGACTAGGAGTGTTGAGTCCAGGAAAGACAGCCCTTGATTGAGATCTGAGCAGCATCCTTTATCCGTCCTTCTTGACAAGACAGAATGACTAGGCACAGCAATTTAACTGCCCGAAAACTTCGAGTCAAAAAAATAATTTAAAAAATTAAAAAAAAGAAAACTTCAAGTCAAAACACAATGACTAGAAAAATCATCTGGGAAAATATTCAACAGAGAAAAAAAACCTAGAGTTTGCTCCAACTCATTCCTCCTAAGAGATCTAGCTTTATGCTTGGTGCTGAGGCTACCTCTTTAGTCCCATATATAACAGTGGATCAGACAAATCCCACGATCTTCTATGGACTGGTTTCTTAATTTATCATCCCTCAAAAAGAAGCAGCTTTTCAAAGCCTGTCTGATAATAACTCTCTGACCAGATACACCCGCTCCCAAAATTCAACAGGGTCTATGGTGCCATCATTGAGGGCAATTTCTCAAGGCCTAACCAGATTCCTGTCTGTTCAAAGGCTAACTGTTGGGAAGCCATAACCAAGGGGAATCCTGGCTTTCTGCAGCTTTCCACTCTTGTTCTCTCACCCAGGCCTCAGGACCCCAGAATTTGATTCTAAGCCCGACAGCCCAAATGTGCCCGTCCAAGGCGCCTTCTATCTTGGCTTGCTGTCTGGACTGGCCTTAAGGATCTCAAGTCTGGAATCTACTTGTCTTCATGTTAAATCTAACCTTATCATACCATTCTGAAGGCCTCATCTGCGGAGCAATTTTATGCTTACTCCGGGAGATTCAGAAATCAGGATTGGACTGTGAGTAAGAGGTCTAACAAAGCCTATGAAGCTCACACATCCAATCTCACCTTTTGGGCTTCCTTTCTCCACTAACACAGCCAGCGAATCCACCCACAGCTGGGGCTTGGTCACTCAAAGGAAAGGAAAGGGCGTAGGCTGGGGTTACTAGCCCGGAACCGCCTCACAACATCAGGTCCAGATCTTCCAAACCTGACAAGAGTAGAGTCCCACGTGGAATCCCCTCTCAGCCCAGACTCCTTGTCCCTCTCCTTCGTGCAGGAGAACCTAGCTATGGGTTCTACGGAGGAAGCAGTAGGTTTCGTGCACTCCCAGCAGGCAGTCAGGCAAGGGAACATTCGCCTACAACCCAGCTGAGCTGTGGTCGGGAACCGAGTAAGGGCCCCAAGTCCAGCTACAGCGGTGGGCACCCTTACCCATGTTGGATCTGAAGCGAGCCAGGTGGTGCTGCCCATCCCTGGATCTTCGCAGACGGGTGGCGGGCCGTGGGGCTAAGGTCTGCCTGCTATAGTCTGCCTGCAGAAGTGGCGAGATTCAAGCAACCCAGGCCAGACGGGGCGGGGCCCTAAAAGCCCCATCCGACGGTCAGGACCAGAAAAAAAGTCTGGCCACAGCGCAGGCCGGCGCACCAAACCTGGTACTGTATGGTCCACATAGGCGCCTGTTTGGCTTTCAGCGTTCCCCGCGGCCGCCGCCTCACAGGACCGGCGGGAGGCGGAGCCGCGCGCGACACATGGCCCGGGCCCTGCGCTGCTCCGGGCCGCACGGGGGGAGGGGGAGGGGCCTCTCGAGGACTTGCAGCAGAAGCTCCAGGCGACCCAGAGCGCAGCTTCTGCGGCCTAGCCCGCGCCCCAGAATGATACCCCCAACACTCACCCGAGGGGCTGGCACGATGGCGGCAGCAGCGGCGGCGGCAACCCAGCGCGGTCTGCGACCGACTGTCCCTTCCCCCCTACCTTCCCTCTCCCGCCCCGTTGCACTCTGGGAAGCGCAGTCCCGCCACTCTCTTTTTTAGCATTAGCGCGCTAGGAGAAAACTACAATTCCCGGTGTGCTACGCGGCGGAGGGCCAGACAAGGCCCGCAGCGCGCGAGGAGAGGCTAAGCCGGGGGGAGGCTGCCGGGGCGAGCCCCTGAGAATTGTGGTCTAGCGGAAGCCTCTGGAACACGGAGGTTGGCGCCAGTCAGGGGTCAGGGCTCTCCTCTCTCTCAGTCCCAGCTGGCGTGGCCCCGCCCAAACTGCGGGGCAGAGGATGGCTGGCCCCGCCTCTGTGAGAGCGCAGTCCTTCCCCGTGCTGGCCCAGCCGCCCCTCCCTGGGCCCCTAGGCTTTTTCCTCTCGCGAGCCCCACTCCTTTCTTGGGCTCTCACCGCTGTTTCGGCTCTTTGAGGCACTATCACTTTAGCTAGCCAGGGCGGAATCCACAACTTCTGTCCTAATATTCGGGGCCAGTCGGTTCCAGAAGTGATTTCCAGCAACTAGGCCTTTTTTGGGCCGGAGACATAAATGCTCCTCAGGTGGAGCTTGGCTGGACCGATTACTCCCACATTTATACAGAGAAGGGTCTTCAAAACATTATCATAAATCTTCCCCGCACACACCAGCAGGCAACTAAGAGTTATTGAAGAGAAATAACTGGCTCACTGAAAGTTTTCCTGCTATTTAAGTGACCAGATTATAAATAATCATCTTCCCACCTTTTGCCCTTTATTTTCAATGCCTTTTTCATTGTTTCCTTGGTAACAAATATTTGAAGTAAGGCCTACCTCTAGGTCAAGCCTGTGCTTGGAAAAATAGCTCTAGAACAGCTAACATAGGGGACCACAGGAAAGGAAAATGGCTCCAGGACTGCCAGGCAACTCTAACCCTGTCCCAGTCAGAGATCCCCCAGTACTCCAGCTCTTTCAAAAGTTTTGCACCTTTAACTATTCTTATTTACCTCCTGGGAATGACTATGTAAGACCAGACTAAGCTTTCTTGATGATTAAATCCCAGATCTGTCCACATCACACTCTGCTTGACCAGATAGACACTCCTTAACACTCAGCTACTTAGAACTCTGCTTTCCCATTAATGGTGCATCTGTATCTGGGGCCACCCTTGCTCTGTGAACTGCCCTCCCTCCAACCAAAGCACCACACTGGGTGTGTGCACATAACTCTAGGCACCAAGGAGGGTCCAGAGTTGCTGAGAGGTTCAAGACAGCAAAACACAGGTGTCGTTTTATCCCCTCGATGAGTAAGAATTCAGGAATACACTAAAAAGCATGAACTGGTGCACACTTACAATTCCAGCACTCAGGAGGCTGAGGCAGGAGGATTGCCAAGAGTTCCAGGCCAACCTGGGCTACAATGTGAGTTCAAGGCCAGCCTGATCTATATAACAAGACCCTGTCTCACCACACACACCAAAATAAATAAATAAATAAAAAGCATGAACAAAGCCTGGGAAAGTCCCTGTTCAAAAAGTCTAGGGAAACATGAGACTAACCCAGTAAGGGTCCAACTGGCTTTTACCATCTAATTTCCAGCCAGAGTTAACCCTTGGAAGGCAGAGATCCCATTCCTTTTCCAACCTGTGACCTTTGACAAATGCTACACTCTCTCCACACCAGACTTGTTTCCCAACTCAGTGCCAAAGAACCAGAAAGGAAAAAGGAACAAGTTTTAGGGCCGCTCTACCTTGAAGTCACAAGGCATGTTCCCGCAAGGAAGAAGTCATATTTCATGGAGCCCAAGAGTCTGTGTCCCAACGTACATAGTAAAAAGGAATAGCTTTAAAGATATTTATCTCTTACCAAAGTGGCTTTGCACTATCTTGGAGCAACAGATAAAAATGTCACTCTCACCCCTCCACCCCTCCACCCTCTAACCTAAAAATAGAAGCAGAACTATGAATCAAGGAGTCACAAATCCCAACTCCTTAATGCCTTCTGTGGATCCAGGCTTTTCACACTGAAGGTATACCAAACCCAAAGTCTCTATGCAAGAGTCCTGGTAGCTCAAAAAGCCATGGCTGATTCCAACTGTGGTCTTCACTTGTTTATTACGTACATGTGCCGGATACTGTGCTACATTTAAGGGATGAAATAGTGAACAAACTTCAATTGCAGCTGAGAATTTAATAAGAAATTTAAAACTCTGAGGTAGGAAGAACCAAATTCAGTTTAGTTCTCACTTGCATCTTCTTGGTAAAAGAATATTGAGTCAGGCGTGACGGCACACACCTATAATCCCAGTATTTGAGAGGCCAAGGCAGGATTGCTGCAAGTTCAAGGCCAATGTGGGCTACATAATGAGTTCAAGGCCACCCTGGATTATTTATCAAGATCCTGTCTAAAAAAAAAAAAAAAAAAACAAAAAAAAAAAAAAAAAAAAAAAAACAGGGAGAAGCCAGGCATAGTGGCACACAACTTTAATCCCAGCACTCTGGGAGACTGAGGTTCAAGGCCAGCCTGGGGTATGCAGTGAGTTCAAGGCCAGTCCAAACTACATAGCCAGACCCTGTCTCAACCTCCCCATCCCCCAAAATTAAAGGGCTAAAGATAAAGATGTAGCTCAGTGCAAAGTCCCTGGGTTCAATCTTGGGGGAGGGGATAGGAAGAAAACTTTTGAACAAACTGGGACCATTTGGTGCAGCTTCCAAAGTTTGGGGGATGAAATAGGTTAGACACTCTATAATGACCTTATAAGGTCAAGGTCCATGTGCTAAGGGCTGGTTTAAGGCGAAACCTGGTCAACAAACATCTCTACTCATAGGGTTGGCCGGGTCTTATAGGCTAAGGCTTGTTTGTCCATACTTCAAAGATGTTTAGCTAAGTTTTATAAAAATAAAATGCCAAAACCCAAATAAAAACCTTACTTTTTGTTTAATTTGTTTTGCCAAACAAACACAGTGAAAACTTTAGTCTAATTGTACAGAAAATAGAATTTGTAACCAGTAGCAAACATAACAGGATAAACCTAAGACCCTGGCAGGCTGGATCTCCATCAGCAGGTCACCCAGATCCCCTCATAAATGGCCTCCTGGGTAGGGAGGTCCTAAGAGTCAGAGGCACAGATCAACTAGTCCCCATCAGAATCACAGACTGCACCTGGAAATGGTAAGCATGAAAAGGAGAGGAACTGGTATTACATGGATCTCTTATCACTACACACAGCTGAATTGTCTGTGATTGCTGGCCAACCTTAAAGTGTGGCTTTCCCAAACTCAGTCCCCGGCATCCCACCTGAATCCCTCTGAAGTGTTTCAAGTTCAGTGGTTCTGAAGCCTCTGCTTAACCAGAATCTGCAACTGGGGAGGGAGGGTAGACAGTCATAATTGCTGGTGTCACCAGTGCCAAGTCTGAGACCCCAAACTCCTGTTTAAGAGGAAACAAGTTAGAGTGCCAGATCCCCAGCAAGACTCCAGCTGCCTTAAGCCTCAGTACTGTCGACCAGAGTATAGAAAAGTCATTAGCCTGAGGATTCCTTGGGCTGGAGGGGGTCTAGGAGTTCTGCAGGACACAGGGAGACCCATTCACATCCCGTGCTTCTTACGGATGACAGCCATGGCAAGCAGACGATCCTTCTCACGAAGTTCTTCGCGAAGCTTGGCCTCGGTGAGACGCAGGTGGCGGATGCTACCCTTCATCTCTTTCATCTTCACTTCCATCAGCGCCAGGATGTCCCTCTGCTCATTCAGCTTACGCAGGAGCTCCTCCTCCGTGGTGCCTGACGACAACGAGTATGAGTGGTCGGAACCAGTATCAGGGAAGCCCTCTTCACCTACCACCACCAACTGGGGACCCATCGGGCATTCAGCGGCCTCCAGAGTCGCTGTAGCTGCTTCTAGCTCCGACGCGGCGGCTGCGGCGGCTGCGCCCTCTGCGGCTGCGAACTCCACTTGCACAGTAAGGTCGATGGGCTTCACATCTTCTCCAGTGGGAGTGGTGGGTGCTGGCGGACCGGATCCAGGAGCCTGACTGCTGTCTACAGCGGCCTGAAGGGTGAGAAGCACGGCTGCAGAGGCAGACACCAGGTTCGGTTGCAGCTGGGAGGTCTGGGCAGTGGAGACGGACGGCGACGGCTGCTGCTGCTGCTGCTGTTGCTGCTGCTGCTGCTGTTGCTGCTGCTGCTGCCTGCGGCGGGCAGCCGCGGCCCCCGCAGGTCTGCGCGCTACTTTGCGCTCATTGACGCCGCGCAGCGGAAAGATGGTGGGAACACGCACCGTGTAGGTCTTGCGGCCGCCCTGGAAGTGAACGCTGCAGAGACGGTGGCCCGTGGTGGGCTGGAAAGTGGAAAAGCACCCACTGACGCCAGCACGGGACACGTTCTTGAGCCAAAGGCGCCGCAGCTCAGCGTCCTTGGGAAACGTATAGAAATGCAGCGCCTTGTCCCGGTGCGAGTTGTTGTAGCAGCCCGGTACGCAGCACGTAAAGCCAGGCATGGCTGCGCCGCGCGACTCTGCGTGGCCCACCGGCCTCCTTTGCGCTTCGACGGCCCGGTCTGTCCGCTGCCGCCAGCCCCTCGACGGGCGGCGCCCTGCGAGGCCTTAAGCAATCTCCCACTATTGCAGCCTGGCGCAGCCGGCGCGAAAGGGCGCCCCTTGCCAGAATACGCTTCGCACCCGACCGCGCTACGCCGCCGGCCCAGCAGTCCGCCTGCGATCCGGAGTCGGCCCGGGGGACGCAGCGAAGGACCGCCTGGGAAGGAGGACTACGCCCCCCACAATGCACCGCGTCAGAAGCTGCTCACTTCCGGGGCGGTGGCGTGTTTATTCCGTCCGCTTTCCAGGACACCGCGAGAGCCCTTGCAGAGCAGATTCTTTTCCGGACCCAGCTGGTCCTCAGCGGACGAAGCGTATTTGTTTGGAGCTTTATTGCAGGGAATGTACCTCACAAGGACCCGGAATACTGATGGAGGCAGTGGGAGGGAGCGCGCGCCTCACCAATGCGCAAGCGCTAAGGGTAGGTGCCCACGAAGACTACAAGCCCCATCAGGCTTAGCGCGAATTTAGCCAGTGCGGTCCAGAGCGCCGTCTAAGGGAGAGGTAGAGTCACTGCGAGTCAGGATTCCAGCGCGGTTCTGCCGCCTGCCAGAATTGGTCAGTCTTCCAACCCTGAGCGTCTTTAAAAAACGGCATTTCTGTGGGGCGTGGAGAAAAGAAACCTAGGCCTCGCTGCCTGCCGCAAACACCTCAGAAGCCACTTGCTCTGTGCTGGAGAGTCTCCGACTCAGTTGCTATCTCTGACTCACTTACTGACCTAAATTAAGTCATTAATAGGCACCTACTATCTGCCGGGCACAGTGCAGGGAATTTCGTGGAGCCTGATCGACCCAGCGTCTCCCTCTTGGAGTCTGACCCCCTGGAGAACTAAGGGTCTGTGTTTTGGGTAATAGATGGGAATGCACGTGATGCAATGTCTGTTCAGAAATAAACGCCACAAGGAATAAACAGGGTAGAGGAGAAAATGAGGGGCCAATGCCCAAGAAGATAAAAGGATGAAAATCTTGGTTGGGAGTTGGGGCCAGATCTTTCGTTTTCCCCTGGAACCAGTCCGTAAGGCCCAGAGGCTAGACCCGGCCTTCCCTGGCCAGGAAGGTAACTTTCACTGAAAGTTACCAAACTGGGCCATGTTGAAGGGTTTGGAATTTTATCTTGCAGGTGACTGGGAACCTTAAAGGGTTTTAACAGAAAACATTTGCACTATGACGAGACAGTGCCTTCTCCCTTCTTCGGGATCTGGACGAAAATATTTTAAAGTTCGAGCCAGGCATGTGCTAGGCATGTGCCAAACTACTGCAATCCCAGCACTCTGGGAGGCTGAGGAAGGAGAATCACAAATTCCAGCACAGCCTGGGCAGTTGAGGGGCTTAGCGAGACCTGTCTCAGGAAAAAAAAGTGGGGAGCCTAGAGATGCAGCTAAATGTAAACACACTGGGTTTATTTTGGCAACACATTTATGAATGGTAAAAATAGGAATACACTTTTAAGGAAGTTTTTTTTTTTTAAGACAAGTTCTCACTATGTAGTTCAAGTTGGCCTTGAACTCACTATGTAGCCCAGACTGGCCTCAAATTCAAAGTAGTCCTCCTGCATCAGTCTCTTGAGTGCTGCAATTACAGGCGTTTGCCACTATACCTGGTCAGAAATAAACTTTTTTTTTTGAGACAGGGTCTCACTATATAGTGCAGGCTGGCCTTCAACTCGCTTATGTAGCCCAGGCTGGTCTCAAACTGACATTGATCCTCCTGTCTCAGCCTCTCCAGTGCTGGGATTACATGCATGCACCACCAAAGCTGGTGGAAATACACTTTTTACTGTTAAATTTTAATAAAATATGTGCAATAGAGATGAAATTCAAAGGTCGGGCGTGGTGGCAAATCCTCAGTTAAACTCTCCAGTATATGAAATCACCTTTTATCTACATTTAGTCTTCTGCACTAAAAGTATATTTGGATAGCTGGAGGTATAGCTCAGTGGTACAGCACACAAGTCTCTGGGTTTGATTCTCAGCGTGCGCGCGCGTACACACACACACACACACACACACACACACACCACCAGAAATGCATGGCTATCTCTCTGCCTTCAATCTTGTCACCTCAGAAAAAAGGCAAGAACCTCATCACATGTCTCTGCTTTCAATCTCATGTCCTCTGGGGCTGGGGATTTAGCTCAGCCGCACAGTGCCTGCCTGACAAGTGCGAGGTTGTGAGTTCGATTCCCGATACCAGAAAAAAATAAAAACAAATCTTATGTCCTCAACAATGTGTTCTTCACATGGCTGCCAAATAAAATCTAATAACGTGATTACATCATACTTCTGTTTAAATCCCTCCAGGGTTTCCTATTACATTTAAAAAACTGTCCTGAGCTGAAAAAAGCCTTTCCTCTTTTTTTTTTTTTTTTTTTTTTTTAAGCCGGGAATCACTCGGGACTTGGCCCTCTCCTTTAAAAATAAAATAAAAACACTGTCCAGATTCCTTCCTAGATTCTGCAAGACCCCACATAGTCTGGCCCTTGCCAATTTAGCTCACTTCCTTCCCTCCCTCCTTTCGTGCAGAGGCCATGCTAATCTTCTCTGTATCGTTCCAATTTTAGTATATGTGCTGCCGAAGCGAGCACCCTCCCTCCTTTCAATCCAGTGTTCTGTTTTGTTTTATTTATGTATGTATATATTTTTGGCTTTTTTGAGACAGGGTTTCGCTATGCAGTTCAGGCTGGCCTTGAGCTCACTTTGTAGCCCAGGCTGGTCTCGAACTCACAACGATCCTCCTGCCTCAGCCTCCTGAGTGCTGGGATTACCGGTGTGCGCCACCACGCCCGGCTACTGTTTTGTTTTAAAAAGCCAGCATTCTGGGATGCTGAAGGAGGAGGTTCTCGATTCCAGGCTAATGTAGATAGTTTACTTACCAAGACCTTGTCTCAAAAAAAACCCCAAACAAACAAACAAACAAAACCAAAACTGGGGGTACAGTTCAGTGAGATCTTGGGTTCAGTCCTCAGTACTGCAAAATATATAAATGAATGAATGCAGTAGCGGGCACAATCAAGCATCAGGCACCAGTAGCCCCAGGTATTCAGAAAGCTGAGGCAAGAGGCTCACTTGAGCTCAGGATTTGAGACATCTGGACAACATAGGGAGATCATCCCGTCAAAACAAACAAAAACAACTTGGGCGTGGTGGCAAAAGCCTGTAATATCAACACTCTAGGAAGTTGAAGCAGAAGAATCACAAATTTGAGCCCAACCTGGGCAATTTAGCGATTTAGAGAGACACCCCCCCTCCCCGCCCCGTCTCAAAAAAAGAAAAAGAGCTGGGTATGTAGCTCAGTATGAAGCACTGAGTTCAATAACCAGTACCAGAAAAGAAAAATCCTTATCAGGTGGGCATCATCTGTAATTTCCAGACGAGAAAACCAAGGTGTGGACTAGGTGCTACATTTGCTCAGCCGTCCGTTTTGGTAAAGCTGCCTGTAGAGTCAGATTTTGCAACCACATCCGCGCACTCTACGTACGCGGGAGAGGGAGAACTACAACTCCCGAGAGCCTCTGCAGTACCATCGCGAGAGTTATCTTAAATGTGTCGGCGGGAAGGCGGAGGTCCTGCTGCCCTGGCAGTTAGGAGAATGGGTGAGAGAATGGCGGACAGCTACAGCCCAGACAGCGAGCCCACGACACGGACGCTATTGCGCCGCGTGCTAGATACAGCTGACTCTTGCACTCCGCAGCGACGCCGGAGTGCTCGGATTAGGTATGTGAAGGCGCAGCATGTCAACTAGAAGCACTGGGGAGTAGGATCTGCGTGGGAGCCAGCGCCGAACCTATTGGAGAGGGAAACTGAGTCTGGGAGGAGCAGGTAGAGCCTTGAGAACTGGTTGCACTTCACTAGCGGGGCGCGGATCCGCTCTTTGTGTCTGCACCCCTGGAGACAAAGGCTAGATGCTCTGTTCTGTTTCGCCCAAACTGGCTCACGGTGTGCCATGCCCAGACGTCTGCCCCTTCCTCCTAGGTGGTTCCCCCTTCCCTTGCACATTCATTTCTACTTTCTCTGTGGCTCCCAGCTGGACGGTGGGAAAAGAGCTATAGAGCACAGCCTGCACAGAAGTCAGGAGGCAGGAATTAGAAATAAGCTTTGCAAAGGAGCAGGAATTTGTCCTGACTTGGGAGTGTCTCAGGGAGGGGGCGGTGGTAACCTCATGGGGCAGAGGGTGCAAAAGTTGGCATTTGCACTATTTGGACAGTGCAGTCCTTTTCCTTATAAAGGAATGGGAAGTTAGCCCTGTGTAGTGACACATCCCTGTACTCCCAACACTCCAGCTCTGTGTACTGGCACATCCCTGTAATCCCAACACTCCAGCGGGTGGCTGAAGCAGGAAGATTGGAAGTTTGAGCCCAGCCTGGATTTGAGACCTTGTCTCAAAACTAGAAATTAAAAAAGGGTGGAGAATGTAGCGCAGTGCAAAGGCCCTCAGTTCAACCTCCAGTACAGAAAAGAAACAGAAGTCATTCGTGACAGGTTTTAGAACTATGAGTGATGATGTGGGAGCTGTGCCTGCAGAACGTTTGTGTGTCTCTGAGAGCAATTGGACTGGAGACAGGGCTAGGGTGACCCATGTGATTGCCGTCAGACTCTGACAAGTACTTCGAAGGATTAAAATACTGAAGTATCCTTTTGGGTTGTTACTTTAATGCCTAGGGTGGATCATCTTCCAATTGCTCCTCTCCTCTGTGGTTAACTCCTACTTTCCTTTATGATGCTGTAACAGTCACCTCTGTGAAATCTTCCTCACCCACCTCTCCCTTTTGGCTGGGGCAGTCATATTCCCTCTTTTGCCAAACCTCTTCATCTTCTTTTGACATGTGTCTGGAAACAGGGACTATGCAAGGCACAGTGGTTTCTGGGTTCCTGTCCCTGTCTGAGGGACTTTAGGACAAGATCCCTGGTGAAGACAAGTCTCTGGGTCATCTAGGCCCTGTGCAATTCTTAGAACTGTTTGTTGGTCTTTACACAGTGCCCAGAGAGCCCCGATTGAAACATCTTCCTCCAGGAGGCGGAGTACCCAAATAAAGGCAACTGCCAGGCGGCGTTCTCATGGAGCCAGAGTAAGTATCCAGCCCCTCTGGCCATTATAGGGTCCTCGCCTTCATGGAGCCCTGACATCTATTTTTGCTCTGGAGGCTACCATGAGGGAATCTCAAGGCAAAAAGAACAGACTGGTTACATGGTGGTTTTGTCCACAGTCTACTGGCAGATTGGCTCATGGCCAAGCCGGTGGGAAACTGGAGGAACAGACACCTCGCACTCTGCTGAAGAACATCCTACTAACTGGTGAGTGGGTGCTAGCCTGATAGAGTTAGGCACCAGTCCAACCCCAGTCCTGTTGTATATCCTTCATTGAAGGCAGCCCGTTACATTGGCCCCATCTTCTCCATGGTGTTTCTGCAGCCCCAGAATCTTCTACTGTGATGCCAGGGTCAGTGGTGAAGCCAGCACCAGCACAAGTGGTCCAGCCCTCCAGACGGGAAAGCAGTCAGGGCAGGTGCACAGTGAACTCCCCTCCTTGGCTGGGCTGTTGGGCAGCTCTGGTCTGGGAGCCTTTTGGGGACCCCAAAGACTGGAAAGGGAACAATTTCCTTCCTTGCCTGAGATTAGCTCTCTCCTTATAGCCTAGAACTACGACTTCCTGAACTTGAGCCCCCTCCAACCCTAGCTCCAGTTCTTCTGGGCTCTGGCAGGAGGAAACAGAGGCTGAGATTGTCAGTGTTTCAGCAAGAAGTGGACCGGGGGCCCCAGGGGCTGCCTGTCTCCCAAGGTGAGGCCTAGGATACCACCTGTTGCTATTTCCTCCATCCTGTCCTCTGGAGAGGCTAAGGAGGCCTGAGAGAGGACTTTCATGAGCCTGATTAACTTAACCACTGTTTCTTCTTTTTACATCCTCTTATGGGTCACTGACAGAGCCTCCTGGGAATCCTGATGCCTCATCCCTTACCAGGTACTGTTGTCTGTTCTGAGGGAGGTGGGGGTGCAGCAGAGGGTTGGGGAGAGGGGTGCTTACTGATGGAATCTGACCATACTACTCCCAGCTGGTTTTAGCCTCACAGCATGGCCACATTTTAAGAACTGAGAGCTTCAGAACAGATGGGAGAGTCCTCTGGGGAAACTGGCCCATATGTACTTGACTTTTCTTTGTGCTTCCTCTCTTCCACCAGCTCCCTCAACCTGACCTTTGCCACACCTCTTCAGCCACAGTCAGTGAGGAGACCTGGCTTGGCCCGCAGACCTCCCACCCGCCGCGCTATAGATGTGGGTGCCCTTTTGCAGGATCTGCAAGACAATTCCTCAGCCTCAGCTCCTCTAGGTAAGGTTGAGTTTTCCCCTTTCAGCCTCTGGAGAAAGATACCCCCTATGGTAGATATGAAATGCTGCGGAGTCCAGGAGTGCACCTCTTCTGGTGGGGTCAAGGACAGTGAGTGAACCTGACCCTAGATCTAAAGGAGTTTTGGCTTTCATTCCTCAAGGTGCCCTTTGCTTTGGTGGGGCTCAGTCTTAATGTATTCATGTCTTCCAGGAGTTTATGTTCTTAAGCTACAGGGCTAAGGATAGGAAAGTGGTATGTTTTGGTGCCTAGAGCTGTTGGAAGGTTGAAAAAGGTAGGTTTTCACGATCACCTAGCCAGTTAGAGCTGACCTAAGGACTTGATTCCAGAAGACAAGTTCACCAGGATAGGAAGGGCATTCTTGGCAGAGGAAGAAGTGGAAGGCAGAAGTATGGGGAAGCAGTTGTGGGATGATGGGGGTGTGAACAAGCTGCAGAGACCTGGAAATGCCACCCAATGAGCAAAGGTAAGCAAGGAGAGCTGTGGGAGGGAGATAAGGCTTACAATCTAGGTCATCTTTCTGAGATGCCCGTTGTCTAAACCCTCACAACTCTGGCCATCACAAATAGTCTTAGATATTTTGAATGCCTGCTGGACCTCGACCTGCTGTTGACAGCCTCAGGACTCCTGTTGCTACTCTGTCAACAGATGCTGTGTTAGAGGATACCCAGCCTTTCTCGCAGCCCTTGGCTGGCCTCTCCCCCAGTGTGCATCACTCCCTGCCACATCCTCACCGTGGGTCTGAAGGTGCTGAGAGGGCTGTGCATCACAGGACACGGAGCAGCATGCCTGAGCTGCAGAACCACAGTGAGTGTGTGGGGCAGGTAGCCTGGAGCCACACTTAGCTTGGGGGGAGTTAGCCCTGGTGGCTTTCTCTCCTCAAGCCTGTGTAAGTACCCTAGAGTCCCCTGGCTAGGGGTCCCTCCTGCACTGAAGAGCACAGTCAGTGTTGGGCCAGGAGAGTCTAAATTATGACCTGGTACTATGTCTGACTTGGTCTCTCCTCAGTGAATGAGGTTGGCTTTGTTACTCCATCTTTACCCTTCTCAGAGCTGCAGCTTGGGCCTCCTGATCCTCCAGTGGTAACAGAAGCAGAAGGATCCCAGAGGGCTGTGGAGCTTAAGGAGGCAGAAGGATCTCCAGGGGATGAGGACATCTCTGATAGGCCAGGTAAAAGGCCAAGTGTGGAGAGAACCCAGAGGGCTGTGGAGCCTGAGGAGCCAGAAGGATCTTCAGAGGATGAGGACATCTCTGACAGGCCAGGTAAAAGGCCAAGTGTGGGGAACAGCGGATGAGTGGTAACAGCTATGTTTAGGCAATGGCGCACAGAAGGAGCTTGCTTAGGTTGCTTCTGGGAGCTGGTGATGTATGGGGCCAGGGACACTGAGGCAGTTGTTTGGGTAGCACTAAGAGAAGCCTTTGAGAAACAGGACAAGGAGACTCGACCTGCACAGTAGGGTGGCATGGTCATGCCTGAGCCCCCTGTGACCCTGCTCTTTCTCTGCAGCAAGCCCAGAGTTGGCCTCCAACGTCCCTGAGTTTCTTCAGGACAAACAACTGGATCGGTTTCTTGAGCCAGCCCTACCGCCTGGTGTTGCAGTGTAAGATCCCACGTAACTCACAGGCCTCTTGAGAAGGGGGCAGACACTGAGTTGGCACTGGGTACCCTCACACCTTGTCATCCCCCTCTGCACAAGTATGCTGATGATTACCTGGCCCAGCAGCCTGAGCTGGGCTGGGGTTTCCACGCCAAGAGCTTTTCTGCTGTTCTGGTCCCTGCCTCTGGGAGCTAAGCAAACCTGAAAAAGTAACCTAGGTCAGTATATAGTCAGAGAAGGCTTTCTGGAGGACTAGCAGAATTAGGTCAGGAAGTGACAGACTCCTGAGGGGAGTGAATGTTGATTCTGTGGTGTGAAAGTCGTATGCCTGAGCAAGTACCAGTGATATGAAGGAGCTAGAGTAGGAAATCGTATCCAGACTGGAGGAAAAGGGCCCCAGGAAAAGACCAGCTCTCTGTATGGGGCCCCCTGACCCTACTGCTCCTCAGCAGATGATTGAACTGCTGGTCCAGGGTGGCTAAGGTGCACACGAACCCTGTTTGAACAGGAACTAGCAGGACTTGTCCTTGAATAGGACCCTTCTGAAGCAGCAGTTCAGCCCCCTCTGTCCACTCCTTCCCCCAGCTTGTCTTCAGAGCCTCCAGAGCCTGTGTTGGCCAGACTTCCCTCCAGGCCCCGAACTGGTCCCAGACCCCGTCAAGATCCCCATAAGGCTGGACTGAGCCACTATACAAAACTCTTCAGCTTCTTTGCTAAGATGCCTATGGAGAGGAAGGCTCTTGAGATGGTGGAGAAGTGGTGAGTCTTGGACACCTGGGTGAGGAGAGGAGACACTGAGGTTATGAATGGACTATTCAATCTCTTCCCCCCTAACCTTGGCAGCCTGGATAAGTATTTGCAGCACCTTTGCAATGACCTGGAAGTATTTGCTGCTCATGCTGGCCGCAAGACTGTGAAGCCAGAGGACCTAGAGCTGCTGATGCGACGGTGAGCAGGCAGAGAAGGGAGGCTGGTGTGGGAGTGCTGGTGCTGATTCTGTCTACCCTTCCTCTTTTGCAGGCAGGGCCTGGTCACTGACCAAGTCTCACTGCACGTGCTTGTGGAGCGGCACCTGCCCCTGGAGTACCGGCAGCTGCTCATCCCCTGTGCATTCAGTGGCAATTCTGTCTTCCCTGCCCAGTAGTGGCCAGGCCTTGATGCCTGCCTTTCCCCCACGTGGGACTTCTGAGCCCCACCTAATCCTTTCAGTTCTCCACCTCATCTCCTCCCACCAATAAAGTGTCACAAACAGAATATTCTGCTTTTTGGTACATGTGCTAAGGCCAGTCCAGATCTCTCCCTTCCCTTCCCCACCCAATTCCCAACACAGCCTGGAAAATAAGGTGAAGGATTTATATGATCTGAAGAGAAACCAGAGTATGTGGCCTGGAAAATAGCATGGGTTCAGACAAATAATTTTTATATGAAAAATTGAGTTAGCAGCATTGGAGCACTCAGGCTGCCCATGGTGTTCTTAGCTTGCAGACTCTGGTTCTCGCGGCCCCACACGCTTGACATCAGACATATGAAGCCGTTCCATTGCAGTCTGGAGCCTTGTTACAATGCTCTCATCCTCGTTGTCCTCTGGCAGTTCTGACACAGGGATGTGGAAGGCCTGGCTCAGGTGGGTGTTCAGATTTTGCTTGTCCAGGGTAGGATCGATGGTCATCAGGGCTCTGCGCAGTTTGGAAGGAGTAACATCCTCATAGCTGCCCCATATGAAGAGAGAGAGACAGGTTTGAGCCCTCTTGTCTTTACCTCAGACTCTATTGTACCCTCCTGTCTGTCAGGCTTAAGCAGTGTCCATCACCATGCAGTGACCCATGCAGAGAGATGCCACCCTGTGGGACTTGTCCAGATTGGGACTCATCAATGACTGAGTGAGCCTATGAGCCAGAGGGGTCACTCACAGTTCCAGGCCCAGCTCCTGCTTTAGTTCCTGTAGGTATTCATCCTTCTCAACTGTGAACTGTTCCCACAGCTTTTGCACAAAAGGTTCACTCTGGCCCTCCTCATTCTGGAAGGGGCCACAAGACAGGGTGAGGCTGCATGGACTAGGGTCCAGTCAAGGCAAGGATAGGGGCTAGGCAAGGTCCTGGGCCCCACACCTACCTCTGTAAACAGTGAGCGGTAGTCAAACAAGTCTGCACTGCTGCTGTTGGGATGCCAGCCTGCTGCCTCCATTAGCTCCTGAATATGTTCTTCATTCTTGAGAGGGTAAGTGCTCTTGAGGATGGTACTGTGGAGACAAGAGGGCCAGCAGGGGTCTCGCTAGGCTGCTCACCCATCTCCCCATGCCCTCCTCTGCCATCCTTGCTGGTGTTTAGAAGAAATTTTGAGCCTTGAAGCTGTAGCCCTTCCTACCATACTCCCCTTCTCCCATAGTTGGGAGGCTGGTCAGAGGAGATGTTGGATGAGAGTTTGGGGTGGCCTGGACTGGCCTCTTACCTGAACTGCTCCATGGTTATCAGCCCCTCGTTCTGACTGTCAGCGTTTATCATCTCCTTCAGCAGCTGGGCTATTGACTCCTTCTGGTTGATATATACACTCTCTGTCATCTATAGAGATGAAAGAATTTACTAACTTGCTGCTTCCTAGAGTGGTATGGGCAGAGCTGGGTTGTCCTGGGGGACAAAAACCCCTTCAATCTCCCCAACAAGCTGGGGCCAGTCCCAAACTCACCTTTCCCATTAAGACTGCATAGAACTGACTCATGATGTCGTTGGAGCGGAAAAGCTTGATATTTTCAAAAATGGTATATGCCCAGGCTATGGCATCACTCGGCCCAAAGCGACGCTCCAGGAAATTGAAGAAGAAATCTGGAAACTTCTCCTTCTGCAGGGTATGGAGAAGGGGATGTTTGGTCAATCTGGCCCATGATTGGCCCTCTCCCTGCTCCTACAACTTCAAGAGCAGTGGCAAACCTATGGCATGCATGCCATAGTGGGCTGTTTGTATCACTGAAAGCTCAAAAGGGTTCACCATCTCTACCCTAAGGGACTCTGGTTCTGAAAGCCATACTGGGCCAACGTGACTGGTGAGAGCTGACCTGTTCCTCCGCAAGACGTTCCTTCCAGGCATCCTTGAGGAGCTTTACCACATCTTTCCTGCTTGGTTTTTTATTTTGCACAGGACCATCAAACCGAAGAAAAGGGGGGATTGCCTCCCCATAGCCCTGTAAGACAAATGTCACTCATGTCTGAGTCCCTCTGTGGCCCCACCTCCAAGGAAGGAAGAGCCCCACGTTGTACCCCCAGAAACTCAAGTCTCAGCAGCAAGGTATGACTTCTAACTTTGGCCCTAAGCCTCCATTTCAGAGACTCCCCTACCAGGCCAGGGAAGAAGTCTTTCTCCCGGAGCAGGCCCTCGCCAATCTCCTCCAGCAGCACATCCACCAGCTGGTCGCTGTTCTTGCCCTCGGCCAGTGTCTGCCAGCGATCCGGGCCCCCAGCCACCACATCTGCAGGTAGAGAGAGGAAGCTGGATTCCAGCTCATGTCCTTCAATAGACCTTGAGGCCTGGATGGCCATCATTACCTCCGCACTTGGTCCAGTCAGGCCGTGGTGTGGATGTGTGCTGGATATCCTGCAGCTCAGAAGAGAACTGGTCCCGTTCCTTCAATGTGGTCATGTGCAGCTGCAGCAATATTTCATGCTCCTTGCGAACCTCTTCGTAGTCGGCTCTCAGGCTGTCCAGCTATGGGCAAGGTGATTGGTCCAAGCTACCCACCTGTATTACACTGCCTTACCCATGCCTTGCTCTGCCTACCCACTAGCACCTGCTCTTGAAGATCCTTGTTGGTCTTTTCCTGCATTTCAAAGTCTCTCCTGGGTACCACATCTCCAAAGTTGGCCTTCATGGTGTTGAGCTCCATCTGTGTGCGGGTCAGGTCTTGCCGAGTCATCTTCAGAGCCAATGTTAGCTTTACAGGATCTTCCCCCCAGACACCTGTCAGGGGCCCCACCAGTCTGTGTCACCCCGGCTCTCAGGCTCATGGCCCAAGACTAATGTAAATATCCCTTGGGGCATGCCTAAGGTCCTTCTGCCCTCTCTGGGATTCTCTAGGTCTTGTCCACAGTACTAGCAACCTTGGGGTTTACCTAACGTAGGGGTACCAGGCCAGACCTAGTATAGGGCAGTCTCAGCTGCCAATAATATTACTACTTAAAAGATTTTTACAATTTTTGGTCCAGCTCGGAAAATAGCCCCAGCTAGTGGTAGGGACATCTCCTAACATGTATGGGCACAGGATGAGCAGATATTAGGACTGTTGAATGAATAGGGTAAGTGGTGAGAGCCAGACTTCTATTTAGTTCTTCAAAAAGGAGAGAAGTTCAATTTAGGGTACCTGGGGACTGAGCTAGTGACATGTCTTCCCGCTGGTACCGTAACTCATTTAGGTCTGCAAGAAGGATCTTGCGGGCATCTCGCTCGGTGAGGTAGCGCAGGTACTCCTCAGCCAAGTTCTTCCTCAGCTTGGACACCTGCTAGGAAAGTAGCTGGTAGTCAGGGACTTTTTTGGGGACCTCTGTAGGCAGCCAGTCACCACAGGGGTGAGATGGGTGTTGCGTGGTCCTTTCAGCTTAGTGAAAGAAAAGGTAGAGCCAGGTGTGATGCATGTGTTTAATCCCAGCACTCTGGGAGGCTGAAGCAGGAGGATAGTGAGTTTGAGCCCAGGCTGGGCAATTCTTGTTTAGTGACAACCTATCTCAAAATTAAAAAAGGCTGGGGATGTAGCTTACTGCAAAGAGCCTGGGCTCAATTCTCAGTACCAAACAAAACAAAACAAAACAAAACAAAACACGACATCAAAAAAGGAAAGTGGCCATTCTGAGACCATAAAGATACCTGTAGAGAAGGCTTGCTAAGACTCAGGGTCATGCTGAACCCCTCAGCAAAGCAGAGGAGAAGGTAGAAGTGTTAAAGGGTCTGGGGAGAAGGGCTGTCTCTGTCTTCTAGGCAGAGCTTAGGGGTCACCTCAGGGCTCCAGGATGGGGATGGAGCAGGAATTCAGAAATGTGGTCAGCACATTACTTCCATTCACCTCACTCTGCAATGAAATCTTCTCCTCATTCTTTTTGTCAATTAGTTTTAGCAGATTCATCTTTTCTTTCTTGAGCATGGAGATTTCATGCTTCTCCTCAGCCCTCATGGCCAGAATCCTCTCGTTGCAGTCCTCACTCATAGTGATAAGCTTGGCCTTCAGGGGCTCCAGGGCCCGAATCTTCTCCCTTTGGTGGTCTAAGCAGAAACATGTAGGAGAGTCCTTTTGGAGGCATGGAGAACAAACAGCCAAGAGACACAGACCCTAAGTCACAGGTGAGTGGCTGTCACTTGCAAACACCAGGAGTCTGTGCTCACCTTGTTCAAAGTCCTGGCCCCTGCTTCAAGCCTTCCTGTACTAGCTTTAAAGAAGAGGCAGAATCCCTAAGTCTTCTACCACCTTACCTCTCCACCTTTAGTATATGTGCTGCCAAAGCAAGCACACCTCCATGCCTTTCACCTTGCAACTGCAACCTGCTTCAGCCTAGTGGGAGAGCTTCCTCACTCCAGAGGTGCTCACTCTCCTGGGGTTCCCTTTGATTCCTATAGGTATTGCCATATTTCTCAAGGATGAGAAGGCCCTGGGGTATCCTAGCACAGTATATGTAAAAGATGACCTCAAAGCCCAGTTGGTAGTTGCCCACCCCTTGCTAGAGAGCTCCAGAAAGACAGTACAGGATCCTCTCCAGATTCCTGGCTAGACCCAGAAGTGGAACTACGTTTTTGTTTTTTGCAGTAGTATGGGTTGAACCCAGGGCCTTTGGACTGTGCTACATTCCCAGTCCTTTTTTTATTTTTGACTTGAGACAGCGTCTTGCTAAGTCACTAAGTTGTGCAGGTTGGATTTGAACTTATGATCCTCCTGCCTTAGCCTCCCAGGGTGTTAGGATTACTGGCATGCACAACTGTCCCCAGGTGGCTGGGAGCTGCATTCTTACCCAGCATCACCTCATATGCATTCTTGATGGAGGACAGCAGTGGCTTGTATGTTTTGAAATCCTCTATGAAGAACTCAAAGATCTCCCTGTAAGGCTGGCAAAAGAAGAGAACCTTTTACTTCCTGGCCCATAGGAGCCATCCTCAGTGGGGACCTATGTTTTTCTTCACTGGGCTCAGAATTGTTCCCATGTGAGACTGCCAGGTAAGCCCTATCGAGTGAATGCCCTGGCCAATATTTAGGTCTGTCACAGTACCACAGAGCTGGGGGACAATCCTCTGGAGGCTTTCCCTGGTGCGGAGGCCTGGCTAATTATTGTGGGCCAGACCTGCCACTCTGCCAAAGCCTCTCTGCTTCTCCAGGTGGGCAGCCTCTTGCCTTCCACACCCTGTGTCCACTGGCTTCTCACCTGCAGTCCCTCCCCAACTCAGAGCCCTGTGAGAGCAGGAGACTTAAAGTTCTAGTCCTCTGTTCTAACCTCAAAGTGGAGGTGTGGTTTCCTGTCCCACATGGCCACAGGATGATTTGTGTGTTTGGGAGTGGGCACCCAGATAGAAGTGAGACCCGTTGATTTGCAGACACAAGAAGCTTTTGGAGGCAGTATTCCCTCCTGGAGTGGGCACATGAGGCTATGAAATCAGCCCTGAGTTTGAATCCCAGCCTCACTATTTCCTAGGAGGATGTCTCCAAGCTTCTGTGATTGTCCCAGGGCCTGGCACATGGCCAGGGCTCTGTAAATCCTTCAGTCATGACCTGGTCAGAGGTCAGAGTTTCTCTGTTGTCATTCCTATTTCAGTTCTTCCCAAATATGTACCAGAACCTGGGTTACATCTAGACGAATCTCCCTCACTCCTGCCCTTCTTGGTATCTGGGCTATTTTTTTAAACTTGGGGTGACTGTTGCCAGGGTGATGGTGACTGTTTTGACTCCTGCTTGCCCAGGTGCCAGGTTCAGGGCCTATTTGCTCATGTCCAGTGACCCAGCCTGAGTCTCCCAGAGCTGAAGGGACTGGAGGCAGCATTGAGCCCATCTGACACAAGTGTGGAAACCCCAGCCTCACGAAAGTTTTGGGTCTAAGCTGCAGCCTTGCCTGATCACTGGCTTTGTAATAGAATGTGTTTTCTGTAGGGAAGGAGACCCAGAAGAACTGGGAGGGAGTTCAGTCCCTGCTGAAGGTCTGAGGTACTCAGTCCTGGTCGGGGAGGTGTTTTTCCCGCCCTTTCTAAGATTTAGTCTGTGGCTCTAACCTGCAGCCTCAGTTCCTGCGAGGAATCCGTGCCCATGTCTACCAGGAGGAGCTCCTTGCGTAGGTAGTTCTCTAGCTGCTCCAGGTACCTAGGCTTGGCAATGCCCATGGGCTGCTGCTGCCAGCTACTGCAGGGGATGGTGGGCTGAGATGTCACCAGCATCCCAAGTAGTTTTGTACCCTTGGTCTGAGGCAACACACCCCTCTGCCCTGTCTGCTGGCCCAATACCTGGTCTACACCAGCTCACCCACCATTGGACTGACCCTGGCTTACCTGGTGCGTTTCCGGCAGTCATCTGAACAGGGCTTCCGATTTTGCAGGATGGTCTGGCCACTGGTATATGTGGGCCATGGGGACAGCTGGCCACTCACAGAAAATTGCACAGGCTTCAGGGAGAGACAGGTGGCATGAAGATGGTAACACTTCTCTTGCTAATGTTCCTTTCCATCTCTCCTTTCACATTCCTGATTTTTTTAAACAAACATCTAATATAGTTCATAATTAAGACTGTGATCCTTGGGTTGGAGAGGCTCTTTGGGTTAAATTGCAGATTTCCCTTATTAGCTACATGAACATGGGCTTAACTTTAAGCTTCAGTCTCTATGAAATGGAGATAACTGTAGTCACCACCACACTGTTCAGAAGTGAGGATGCCAGAGAAAGCAGAGCATATGGTTTACACAGACTGGTACCTGCTAGGAACTCAGGAAAGGCAAGCTACCTTCTTCTACAGTAGGTCTGAGTTTTGAATACCTGTATCATAAAAAGATGTGAAGCCGGGCATGGTGGCACAAACCTGTAATCCCAGCACTCAGGACGCTGAAGCAGGAGGACTGCTGAGAGTTCGAGGCCAATCTGGGCTACAAAGTGAGCTCAAGGCCAGCCTGAACTGCATAGTGAGACCCTGTCTCAAAAAAAAAAAAAAAAAAAAAAGTGCGCATGCTCTCTAATATGTGGAATCTGAAAATGATGACAACAAAGTAGAAAGGAAACATTAACAGCCAAGAGGAAAGGGGAGGCGCATACAGGCAGGTAATAGGGAGGATGGTGAACAAGATATACACATTGAGACACCCAAAAAACTGTCAAACTTGGAGGGGGCAGAGCAAGGGGGGGATGATGGGGTGAAAATTATCACAGTATGGTATGTGCATGTATGAATCTGCTAAAACGAAGCTCATTAATCTGTATAGCTAATTTAAAAAGTGTGAGAAAAAAAGATGGCATCCCTCCTTGGAAAGATGCATAGAAAGTAAAATATCCTCTCCAAAAACAAACAAATGAAAATCTAAAAAACAGGTGTGAGTGTCAGAGAGCCCCAAGCCTTGCTCCACAGCACAGGCTAGCAAGAGACAGAGAGGGCAGCTCCGTTGCAAGCTTGACAAAACAGAGAGGACAACAGAGATGCAGCAAAGGGAGCTGCGGCAAACTGGGAGGACGCAGGGCTGCGCCCCCTGCAGGACACAGAGAGGATGAAGGAGGTGAGAGTACTCCAGCAATGGGGTTTCTTCTCTATTTTTTGGTAGTCAGGGTTTGCAAGGGAAACAGTTTAATACACGACACATAATTTATAGGATTATTTTATAATAGTCACCCCAAGAGTCAAGTGGAAAAGAATGCAGGAGATCTGTGCATGTACTAGAGACCCAAAGAATCCAGCAGGAGGCCTACAGCCAACGACAATGTCTCATGCAAGTCTGTATCAGGGATCTGTGCTGGGAAGGCCCAGAGGTCAGTGGTGGGAGCTAGAAAGACTGCGCCAGTGGGATGAAGGATCTGTGCCAGCAGGCTGAGGGATCTGCACTGGAGCCAGGAAGTAATGCTCAAAGTAAGGACCACAGCCCCCCCAAAGTGAACCCCAGCCATCCTCAGCGACAGCGAGGACCCGAGCTCCTCTGATGATAACAGCTGAGTTCATGTCAGGAAAGCCAGCACAACAGGCTTCTCCAGCAGAATCAACAGCACACTGTCTTCCCTGCCAGTTCTACCTCTTCTGCTGCCGGCAGCAATCCTCAGGTATGTCACACACACCCAGCATCACGCTGATGCTGACTCAGTTCAGCTGGGGGTTACAAGCTGACCATTAGTTAACCCACCACAGACACACTGTTTTGAATCAGTTTTTTTTCATTTTTAACACAAAAATATGTGACGGCTGGGCGTGGCGTGTCGCATGTCTGTAATCCCAACAGTTGGGAGGCTGAGGCAGGTGGATCCTTGGAAGTTTGAGGCCAGCCTGGGCTACAAAATGAGCTCAAGGCCAGCCTGAACTGCATAGTGAGATCCAGGTCATATTCGTAAGGTGAAAGGCAAGGGCCACATGTGTCCTGCAAGTGTGGAGCGCTGCTTCACTGAACCCCTGAATCTGAAGGCTCCGGGTCTTGCTTGGGGATGCTGTGGCCCAGCCTTCTGTGTAAATACAGGAGGCTTCTCCTGAGCTCTTTAAAATGTACTCAGCTGGGCTCACAAGGCTGAGGCAGGAGGCTTTCCATGAGTCTGAGGCCAGCCTGGGCTGCACAGTGTGTTCAGCTTGAACTACATAGCAAGACCCTGTCTCAAAAAAAAAGAAAGAAAAAAGAAAAGAAAGCCCTAATGACACTGCTCAGCAGATCTCTTTGTTAAACACTTCTGGGAAAGGCTATACTACAAAATCGGATGGGACTTGACCTTTTGACAGCAGTACAAGGGAGGACCTGGACAGTTATCAGAGTCGAATGCTGTGTCTGCATACCCGATAACTCTGCCCACGTCTCCTCCGCTTCTCAGGACTTGCCAAGTCCAGACTATGTCGGATCTCAATCCTAGCTTAGGGAAACGATGTGGGCTGGGCTCTCTGGATGGACACGGTTAATAACCATTGCAGCCTTTGTTCTTATAACCCTTATATTTGTATCATGTGTAATAAACTGGCTCCTGAACTTTATTTCTTATTGTTTTCAGTCAACCTATCCTCAGATGGTTCTATACCCTTCTGGCCTGTGGAGAAGGGCATTCTTTGATTAGAATGCATTAAGGACACAATGATTTGTTTAACCTTGAGTTTAATGATCCTCCTGTCTCAGCCTCTTGAGTGCTGGGATTATAGGCGTGTCTTTGATTACATGTGGAAAAGGATAATCCTTTGATTATCCTTGCTAAAATGTTTTGTATCCACCCTTTAGTACTAGCTATGCTGTAGGTTCTCACTCAATAAAAGGTGACTGAAATTGGTATTTGAGGCTGCAGTCCGAGAGGCTGTATGCCCCCTGATCCCAGAATTTTTGCCTCTCGTTTTTCTTGTCTCTCTTTCTTTTCGTTTTCATCCGCGAGCACCTTGTTCATGGGACCTGACACACTGGATAGAATGACACTGGCCTGACCTTATATTGGATCCTCGCCTAGCCTCTGGGTCTGGACAGTCAGTGAGTGAGTGCTCTAACTCCAACACATCTGTTTTCAGCAGGAAGTAGCCAGAGTGGGCTTGGTACCCTAGTACTGATACAGAAAAATAAAAACTCCCAAACTGAATGATATCTGGGACGAGTTCGTGTTCTCTAAAATCGAAGAATGAATTTTAGGAACAACGAAGGTTAAGAGCAGAATGTATTTATTGAGGGAAAGAAAAGAAAGCCAAGAGAGGGACAGAAGGGGGGCCCGAGTGGGTTACCCCAGCAATAGGGTTTCATTTTAAACCTTGCGCAGGTATAGGGCCATGCGGTACGAAGTAGTATGTAGGAGCTTTTTTTTTTTTTTTTAATAAAATTCATTCTATTTTTACCTTTCAATTTTTTTTGTTTTATACCAGTAATCAAACTCACAATCCTGTGCTTGCCAGGCAGGTGCTGTGCTGCTGAGCTATACCCCAGCCCCTTGAAGGAACTTATAAAAACTTTTTCACGAAACACTGACATGGGGAAAAATATGATCCTCTGACCCAGTGAAGCCTACTTCTCAGGTTTCATCCATCCAGTCCTTCATTTGTTTATCAAGTATTTCTTTTTCTTTTGTTTTCTTTTTTCTTTTCTTTTTTGTCTTTTTGAGACAGGGTCTCGCTATGCAGTTCATGCTGGCCTTGAGCTCACTTTGTAGCCCAGGCTGGTCTCAAACTCACTGATCCTCCTGCCTCAGCCTCCCGAGTGTTGGGATTATAGGCGTGTACCAACACGCCTAGCCCTCATGTTTATCAAGTATTTCTGGGTCCCTTATCTGTGCCAGACCCTGCTGGTTCTAGGGATGCGAAGGAAGCTCAGTATGATGGGGGTAAAGGGAGAAGTCAAGTGATGGTCGCAAGTCAGCATGAAGGGACTGAAGCCAGTGCAGGTCACAGGAGATGGGAGTCCCTGACTGGGGTCAGGGAGTCTGGTCATCTCCAAGCAGGTGATGATATCAGTAGAGCTTAAAAGAGTACACAGGAGGAACAGTCACTTGGAGAGGGTGTGGATGGGTACCACCAACACCTTGGGGACACAGCAGAAGATCTGAAGAGCTATGAAGTGGCGTTCATGTCTAGGGAAACTGAGGCTTCGGCCTAAGGCAAGGGTCCAGGCAGCTGGTGTAAAGGGAGGCAGAGATAGAACAGTATTACACACAGGGATGGTCCTCACAGCTTTATTCAGGGCTGTGGAAAAATCAGACAACTTCAGAGCACTGGGGAGTCTGAGGCAGAAAAATCACCTCAAGTTCAAGGCCGGCCTGAATTATATAATAAGAGCTCGTCTCAAAAAAAAAAAAAACAAAACCAAAAAAGATGGTTATGTAACCATGAAATTTTTACAGAGGCTGAACATGGAACTACACTAATGATATACAGTTCTGAAAGTAGGGAATAAACATGCTAAGTCAAATGAAAGACCAGAAAATCTAAAAGACTATCAGTGAAAATTGTTCTCTAATGATAGGGCCTTGGTGGTTATTTTTGTATAATTATGCATTTAAAAACTTTTCTAGCCAGGAGTAGTGGCACATGCCTGTCATTTTAGCGTTCTGGGAAGCTGAGGCAGGAAGACTGCAAGTTTGAGCCTAGCCTAGGTAACTCACTAACTTAGCAAGATCTTGCCTCAAATTTTATAAATAAATAAATAGGGCCGGGGATGTAGCTCAGGGCAAAGGCTCTGAGTTCAATTCCCAGTAATACAATAAAACAAAACAAAACAAACCTGAAATGAATATAAATCATCTTCAAATTTAAAATTAAATTAAATTTTTTTGTGTGTGTGGTACCAGGGATTGAACTCATGGCCTTGCACTTGCCAGGCAGGTGCTTATGCCACTGAGCTATATCCCCAGCCCTGAAAGTTAAATTATTTAAAAAGAACTATGGGGGCTGGGGATTTAGCTCAGTGGCAGAGCGCCTGCCTGGCAAGCGCAAGGTCGTGAGTTCGGTTCCCGGTACCGGAGAAAAACCAAAAAAATAAAAAATAAAATAAAAAAATAAAAAGAACTATCTATGGTCCAGAGCCCAGCCTTCAGTTTCTTCAGGGCTGGAGAGCCAGGCCTACTCTGATGTCCCACACAGCCAGGTTCTCAGAGCCCTTCCAGGACAATGGCACCTGGCTCCTGACCCTCCTAGTGTGGAAAATGTCATCTTTTCTTTGGACTCTTTTCTTGCTTTTTTGAGACAGGATCTCTCTTGCTAGGTATTTTAGGCTGGTCTTGAACACACTATGTTGCCTAGGCTGGCCTGGAACTCACAAATAGCCTCCTGCTTCAGCCTCCCAAATGCTGGGATTATAGGCACTTAAGCTTTGTTACTAGGTCCCAGGAAGGACTCCAGCATCCTGACTGGGCTCTAGGTTGACCTAGCTCTGTACCTCCAGAATTTTTTTTTTTTTTTGTCTTTTTGAGACAGGATCTTACTCTGCAGTTCAGGCTGGCCTTGAGCTCACTTTGTAGTCCAGGCTGGTCTTGAACTCACAATGATCCTTCTGCCTCAGCCTCCTGAGTGCTGGGATTATAGGCATGCGCCACCATGCCCGGATGTACCTCCAGAATTGACAGCAGCATACTTCACACTCTTCATAGTAGTATTAGGTAGCATCCAGCAAATGTTGTGGAATAAATAATAAATAAATGAGACAGCACCATAATTTAGTGTAGAAGAAAAATGTAATAAAAACTAAAATGTAGCTGGTGTGGTGGTGCATGCCTATAATCCCAGCATTCTTGGGATGGTGAGGCAGGGAGATTGCCTAGAGTTTGAGGCCAACCTAGGGTTCACAGTAAGTTCAAGGGCAGCCTGAACTACATAGGAAGACCCTATGTCAAAACAAAACAAAACAAAACAAAACAAAACAAAAATCCCTTTCCTAACTATTCACCATTGAGGTCTCAGAAATATTCTTCAGGCTAGCCTCTCCCAAACTTCCCCCTTACCATACCATATCTGCTCCATCAACAGAGAGTTATGTGTGTCTTGCTGACCATTGTATCTCTAGTGCCTAGCGCATGGCAGGCATCAGAAAAGATTTGTTGATTAAAATGGAAACATAAGTGGGAAAAATCAAACAATTAGATTTTTTTTTTTTTTTTTTTGGTACTGGGAATCAAACTTAGGACCTTGCGCTTGCCAGGCAGTCACTGTACCCATTAAGCTATATCCCTGGCCCTTAGAAGACTTTTTTGAGGCAGGATCTCCCTATATAGCCCAGGTTGGCCTTAAAATTGGCAGTTCTACCAAGTGATGGATGGACAGGAATAGAAGGGGAGGGAAGGGAAAGTAAAAAGAATTAGGATGTGTTACATACATCTACCAACTCCCCATGATGAATGTAATCATTATGTACAACAGACATGTACTAATAATTTTTTTTCTTTTTTTTGGTTTTTTGAGACAGGGTCTCACTTTGTAGTGCAGGCTAGCCTTCGATTCACTATGTAGCCCTGACTGGCTTCAGGCTCTAAGGTGATCCTCTTGCCTCTGCCTCCCGAGTGCTGGGATTGCAGTTGTGTATCACCATGCCCTGCTAATAATTTTTTTTTTTTTTAAAAGGAAAGAAATGGGCAGATGTCTGGTCTCAGCCTCATGAGTGTTAGGAATACAGGCATGTGCCAACATGACTGGCACAATTAAAGCTCAAAGATTTCTATCAGGATAAGCTACATCAAGCAGAGAAAGGTTGAATGACAGTAATTTGAGTGTAATAAAATTGATAATGACAGATGAACAGAATTATAACCTGTTAAATGAAAATAATCTTTTAACATATTTGAAAGGTAATCATGAGTCACAGATGCAGTATTAACACTTTTCTTTTTTAGTACTCAGGACTAAACCCAGAGCCTTCACACTGAACTACATCCTGTCTTCTTTCTTCTTTTTTTTTCCGTATGTTTTATATCAATAAGTTAGGTGGGCATGGTGGTACACGCCTGTAATCCCAGCACTTGGGAAGCTGAGGCAGGAGCATCCTTGCAAGTTCGAGACCACCCTGGGCTACAAAGTGAGCTCAAGGCCAGCATGAACTGCATAGTGAGACTCTGTCTCAAAAAGACAAAAAAAAGCCGGGTGTGGTGGCACACACCTGTAATCCCAGCCCTCAGGAGGCTGAGGCAGGAGGATCATTGCAAGCTCTAGACCAGCCTGGGCTACAAAGTGAGCTCAAGGCCAGCCTGAACTACACAGCAAGACCCTGTCTCAAAAAGACCAAAAAAAAACAAGACACAAAAAAATCAATAAGTTGCCCAGGTGGGCTCAAATTGTCCATCCTCCTGTTTTAGCCTCCTGGAGTGCTGAGTGGGTAAAACACATTTAGAAACCAGATACCTTGCACTGGTGATATGTGATGGAAATAGGAATGGGCGATATAAATGTCTCTAAAATAATTATCCAGAAATTTAAAATAAATTCATATTTTCTCTGACCCACTTATTAATTAAAATATAACATGGTGTGTGTGTGTATGTGTCTGTGTGTCTGAGTGTGGGTGGGTGACCCATACCTGCAATCCCAGCATTTCGGGAGGCTGAGGTAAGAGGATGAAAAGTTCAAGCATGAGCCACTGTGTTCCCTCTTGCATGTGGCCCACCCTTCTTTTCCTACTTTTCCTCGGCCCATACTTCCTCTGCAGAGCCTGTTTCTTTTCTTACCTTTAAGAAAACTTGACTGCAGTGTGAAAAAAAAAGTTCAAGCCCAGTCTGGGCAATTTAGGGAGACCCTGTCTCAAAATAAAAAGGGGCTGGGAACATAGCTTAGTGCAAAAGGCCTGGCTGGGTTCAACCACTGGTATGAAGGTGGGGTGGGGGATGGGAGTGGGTGGGAGGAATATATGTATTCCGGGTTAGTACTGGCCTTTTCAAAGTCTGAAAAACTTAACATTAACCCACCAGGTTTAGGTCCTAGGTATCTTCCA